AGGAATTGGGTAAGAATAAGTAAAATTCTTATTCACTAGACTCAATATAATAAAATCTTTGTTAATTTCCCAGTTCAATTATTTATTTATTACTCTACCAAATCCTTCCAATAATTTTCTTGGTAAACTGAGCTCTATCTTATTTAATTTCCTCTGGAATGGTAAAAAACATTTGAAAAAAAGACTTGGTTATTCAGAATTATATAGACGGGGGATTAAAAATGATAGATATTATAGCTTTCATAGATTCTCTCAAACTAGGCTAGATCAGAAGAATATTTCACTCATCAGGGAAATGGAAAATGTTATTGAATACTATCATAGATGAGTTAAAAATGTTAAATTGTGGGATAGAATATGTTAACTCTTGTTGTTTAAATTGTAGAAATGCATTCTGGAAAGACGTAATTAAAAATATGATTAAACTAACTAACTCGGAGCTTATCAGGCAAAGTTATTTCAAATCTCTTTTAAAAAGTCCTTTGTGGTATAATAAAGACATTCGGGTGGGGAATAAATGTGTTTTTATCCAAGATGATTAATGTTGGCAAACATACTATGAATAACCTTGTAAAGAATTATGAAGACATGACGTTTTATTCTGTTAATGAGTCAGTAATCTTTTCCCAATAATTAATGCCAACTATTTGCAGTACTTCGGTCTAATCACATCTACGAAGCAATTTCTACGGAAGAACGAACTTCAGATTGTACAGTTCCAACAACCTTTCATACCAATTTTTTATGAAATATTTTTCAAAAGCAAAAAAGGTTCAAAGGACTTCTATAACTGTTTGATTAAACCGCCACCTATACCAACTGGAATTCAAAAGTGGGGGGTGGGGGTAGAGATTGACTTTGATGGACAGAAGAGGAAAAATAAAGAATCCCATTTACTATCACTAAAAATTCAAAACTTCAGTGGTTCCAAGCAAGAATTATTCATCGTATATTGGTCACAAACTCTTTTCTCTTCAAAATTAATTTAAGTCCTAGTCCTTTGTGTAATTTGTGTAATATGGAAAGGGAGACAATTGTACACTGTTTATGGGAGTGTGTCGAGGTGCAGACACTGTTAGAGAGATTTGAATCACTCCTCAACATTTTCTTGATTCCATTTTGGATGAACAAAGAAACTTATCTCTATGGTATTCTTTCTCCTAAGGCTAATGTAGTAGAAAATGAAATTTTAATTTTGATTAAACATTATATATTTAAGACAAGGTGTCTGCACAAGTCTCTAAGTTTAAATGGTCTCATAAATACAATAAAAGATCACTTCCGAGTACAAAAATACAGTGTTTCTTCTAAAAATTGTCGCATAAAAAGGAATTTTGAAAACAACTGGAAAAAATGGAAACCTATTTTGGAATTATAAACTACATTTTGAACTGCTTTCTCCATTGACCTTGAAATCACCACAATTTCGGTTATCATTTCAATTTTTTCATTTTGACCTATAAATTAACTATAAATGTAGAAATAGGCAGTATCAAATATAGTCCTTCAGCTTGTTTCCTCTGTTCTCCCTCCTTAATCCATTGCCTTTTCTCTCCTTTTTCTTCTGCCCCACCCTTTCCCATCTATCATATTTATATGTATGTTTGTGTGATCGTGTGTGTGTATATGTGAGGGAGGGTGTGTATGAGTGTGAAGGTGTGTGTGTGTGTGTGTGTGTGTACTCATTCCATAGCATGTATAGGGTGGGCCAAATTTCATAGCCACCTCTATATAATGGTTCAGAGTTTGTCAATTTTCTAGTTTGATGCTTACAATGTTGATGATGAGATTTGAGGAGGAGGAGGAGGATTATTGATGATGATGATGATGATGATGATGATGATGATGATGATGATGATGATGATGATGATGATGATGATTTGATGTTTGATGATGATGATTTGATGTTTGATGACGATGATGATGATGATGATGATGATGATGATGATGATGATGATGATGATGATTGATGTCTGTTGATAATGCATTGCGAAAGATGATGTTGGATGATGATGATGATATGTTGCGTACAATTTATATATATATTATTTATGATGATGATGATTATTAAAATGTGACTAGACTGAAAATGATATTAGGCCCTTAAATATCGTGGTGTGTCTGTGTATTGGTGTGTGTGAGGGCGTGTGTGTGTACTCCAACCATGTGCGAGTGTGGCGTTGGCATGGTGTGAGTGAAATATTTATGTTTTGAAAAATCGTCGAAAAATTAAAAAAAATCATGAATTAAAAAAAAAAAAATTCCTTCGCTCTTCGCCAGCTTGTTTTCACGTGAGACTTTTCACGGAAATTTTCATTAGACCAGATAAGAAGGACGTGAAAGCTGTGAAGTCTTTAATTTAATATGTAGGTATGTCATTGACGAGTCGCTTTTGTATAGTATTTATCGACCATATCAATAGCCTTAATAACTCAATAGTATCAGGTTTTCTCTGTTGTGGACTTTTGAGTTTGTTATTGCATACCTGCTGTACTAACCTATGGCATTATGTCAAAGTTGTTTCGATAATCGATTCCTTTCCGTATAATATTACGAATTCCATTATAAACACGGAGTTTCGAGAAACATGCTGAATGCTATGGGAGAGGTTTATAGTGGTCATCATATCAGGACATCAATAGGAAACATCATTTTCCCAAGTGTGATAGCAATTTTAATGTTTTTGATGCTCGTTAGCAGTTCCAGGCAGTTTTAATGATAGATTTTTCTGCTTCAATCATTGGAAATCTTTAGACCAAATACATATCGGAGTGTGATCACGCGTGCTGTCCGTTTTAGCCGCATTAGCTTGTATAGCCTAGAAATGGATGTAAGCATTAATCTCTCTTTGTTTACATATTTCCTAACTTTCTAGTTTACATGCATATGCATTAGGTTGTTGCCTTTATGAAACTGCCAGGGAGGAGTGCAAACTCGAGCCATTAAGAAAATCCAGCTTCTGATTAAATACTATAAAAATGACCCAATCGAGTTGAAGATCAGAATATGTACTCCACAAACCGCTTCTTGTCCTTAGGGGGAGGGAGGAAGTGCAGGGGCTCAGGTCAGTCAGCAGACCAATTCATTGTGAAATGCCATATAACATATGAGGCTATTGAAAGCTAAGGTCATTAATAAAAATGTTGAATGTCACTTGTAAATCAAATTCAGAATTCAAGTACATGTACACATTTCATTGTAAACAAACACGTAGAACATCCTACCATAGACATAAAACATCAGACTTCTGTTTTGTTATATAATTTTATTATAAACAACAAAAATATATTTACATAATACATGCATTTTGAATTCAAATTATACATGTAATACTAACAACAACGAAGTAATTAACAACGATTGAGCGTAGATAGGCGTTATCACTGAATTTACTATAATAATGCTATAGGGGAAATGTCGGTCAGTTATGTCGGCTTTCACGGGAATTCTAATCAACAGCCCACAAAAACTGATCGACAGATATATTATCCGTGAGAATAGCACTGACTTAAAGCATCTCAACATCGGAAAATACCATTCATCAAATACCTTGTAAGAGTCTTGGTACAAACTTCCAAGAAAGAATTTCCGTGAAATTGTAAAGAACGATAACATTGGTAGAGATTGGTCATGGTAGCAGGATAAGACATATCATTACTTTTTCATTACAAAATAAATTTGAGATGATCAAGTTTTAATAATAATATAGTATAATAATGCACTTTGTATGATATAATAATGCTTAATGTATAGTATAATTATGCACTATGTATAGTATAATAATGCACTTTGTATAATATAATAATGCCCAATGTTGTTAAACCAGAATGACATGAACCGGATACTGGTTTGACTATGTAATATAGAGGATATGCATACAAGTAGGAAGGTCAAATTGAGTGTTCACATGCACAGGTGTTACAGAATAAACATTGTACTTGAAAACCTGTAGCATATTGAACACAGAATGTATATTCCAGTATGAAAAATCCGTAGGCTTTAGATTTAGTACGACTGGTCATTCAGAAAGAGACAAAGAAATCGGTGTCTATTTCGTGGATTACAATCTACACTCTGGAGCTTTTTATCACAACAGGTAAAAATGCTATAGGATATAATGCCATGTACACTGTATCACATTTGTATATAATATAGAGCGATCTACTGCTGGACCTTTGGGCGATGCATTATTTTTGTACAGAAACTGAAGTTTAACTGAGCAATTACATGGTGAACAAACATTAAATTATAATGATCTAGTACATTCAACACATAATTAAACACATAAGTACACAGAAAGTGTTTGACTTAAGTTTAGTAGATGCTTCCATATTTGGAAATGTTATATATAATGAGACATTTGAAAGGACCCAATCGCACACTGCAGGAAAAGCTTTAACAACCGGTATTAACATATATACTGATATTAATGAGAAAGCACAAACTATCGGCGAAATGTTCTTTGTATGAATTCCGAAATGTACATTTATACATATTAATTTCCATAGGTATGTCTTACCATGAAAAAGAAACTAACGCAATTGTTATAGTTAGAACAAAAAAAAACACACATTAATGTACAATACTAAATTATCTATAATAAAACGAAGCAGATAACACACACTGCCCGAAACTTTGGAACAATTAGCCGTAGTTGACTCAATCGCGATGGTTTAGTATCTATAATATAAACTAAACTGAAAACTTTTTACAAAGTTACAGAAAAGTCACAAACGCATTTAACATACACTAGGAAGACTACTTTCTCATTTGTTTAGAGTTGTAATTATTTAAAAGATCCGAAATTACAGTCGTCTAATACGTTTTTATTCAATGCCTGATAAATATATTATGTAACCAATTACGATGCATTTCATTTACTTCTCTGAGAAGAATGAAATACATCATGTTTGCACTATACATTTAGATCCTGACCATACTAACGACAGATCCGTACAATATATTCTATGATATTTTCAAAATAAGTTGGTTTGTCCTCTTCAAAGATCCGTGAGAGGTACACCTTCCTGTCAATGGTAGAAAGTAAAAAACAATTAGTAAATGCAAAGTGCCGTTGTGATTAGCTCATTGTTAGTGATACTGATAGAAGTGATGCCCCTTTATCATCTCACCCGAGTCTTGACACTGTTGTCTGATTTTATGGAGATTCTTATAGATCATCATAATACTATTCCTAGTTTACACAGCGTTATAACAAGTTTAAAATTCAATACGTCAATAGCTGTTAAGACAGGACTTCAAATAGTTAAGGGTGGACACAGTATCACCTTAGAAGTAGTGTTTCAGTTAGCTCGCGTGTTTTTCAAAACTTACAGCACTTCTGTAGGTACGAGTACCATCATACTCCGCCATCACTGGGAGACGTCTCATCTGCACTGTTTCCTCCTCCACCACCTCTTCATCTCCCTCGTACGACTTGTTTTCCACACCGCAGGAATAATGCTGGTGATTACCTTCAGTTTTTAAGGTTTCAAAATCAGCATGGCATACCACATTTATGTTTATTTTTTAACAATTATAAAACCGTGACGATTTAAAATCGTTGACAATAAGTCGATTTCAATACTACATTTATGTTTGCTTTATTTCTTTGTAATAATAACAAATTACTTTTTGAATCTGTTTCGAGATTACTAATCATAAAATAAGTAACAGGGACAATTAATTCTAATATAGTTGTTGGATCTGGATTCCCTAATAAGATGGACTTGAAGATGAATCTATCCGATGAATTGATCGAGCCAATTTGCAGAAATTACTCTTTGGTGCCAATGTAATTGAAATAATAAACAAATGGAAATTCATAAGATAAAGTTATGAACAAGAGGACGGAGAGACAGGCATCGCTCACATGGCTACTTCAGCTATTCGGTCTTTTAACAAAGAATTTCAAACATGACAAAAATTTATGAAATAATTTCCCTTTACGATCCCGGCCTTGTGTGTTTAACAGAAGTCAGATTCACCATTCATAAAAATTGTTTCAGACCAAACTTGGATAATATCCTTTTAACGGAAGAAGGATTTTTTAATAGCTTTCACGCCCCCCCCTCCCCCCAACCCCCTCTATCGGCCCTACATCTCTGATTTCAGATTCATGGCTGATAAAAAGATAAGTTCCTTTCAAATAATTATGCTTCAGATCACATCAAGGCAGAATCGAGGCATTCCCACGAAAGAGCTATTTTAGAAAAATTCCTTTATTTCCACTATTCGGCCCCACTTCAGAGTGCCGAGACTAATTATTCATACAAAATCGACTTCCTTTACCTTAGTATGCTTCAGACCAAATTAGAAGAAGGGTTTTAAAAAAATGGTTCCATTTCCCCAATCGGGCAATGTCTCTCTCATCCCAAGGGGCGAGACCCATCGTTTTCACAAATTGTGTTCTCCTCACCCAAGGATTCCTCCGACTAAATTTGAGCAAAATCCAATCATTCTTACAGGAAGAATAGTAAAATGAATTTCCTCTCTTTCCGCTATTTGACCCTTCCCTTTCCGCCCCAGGGCACCGACACACATCGTTTATACAAAACTGATTCTTCTTTACCAAAGAATGCTTCAGGCAAAATTTTGGCAAAATTCAGTCATTCCTACAGGAGGAGTAGGAGTTTAAAGAATGTGCTCTATTTCCCCTTTTGAACCCCGTTCCCCAGATCCCCTGGGGGCCAAGAACCAATATTCATTTTAAAACAAAATTTCTACTTTCTTCAATGATGTGTCTGACTATATTTTGCAAAAATTAAATCTGTCGTTCATAAAAAGTAGCGATTTTTAGTAAAATGTCGACGGACGAATGACGGACAACCGATGGTACGTCCTTCGGACAGACGTGCTAAAAATGATGATATTTTCACTTCTTGATTTTAGCTAACACACTAGGCCATTATTCATCATACTAAAAACATACTACTCACCTCGATATATTGCTACATCCAATTCATGTATTGCTATTTTACTTTCGGTGGATAAAGCACTCTCACTTCTCGACCTTTTCACTTTGTTCCTCTTCGGAACAACATCAACAAGGTAAGAACTATCTGAACTATCAAAAGTAGAATTCCTTGCATCCAAGGAAAAACTATCTCCATGGGAACCAGTCCCATCGAGCGCGCGCGACTCGGTGACCTCACTACCTATTTCTCGAGAAGAGTCTGTAACGTCACTAGAAGCGTCTTTCAATGCTGAATTTTCTGAAGAGAGATGATTAACCTCATTTACAACATTAGCTTCATTTGCACTGGTGGTGATGACGTCATCAGCTTTCTGGTACGTGGTGTGTATGATGGTAGTGTAACCACCTTGGGTTTTTTCGGTGCCGTGTCCTGGAGTGGTGTGCTGCGGAACATTGCCGTTGACTTGTGGTCTCTTTATTGGTTTAGAGTACAGTGTTTCTGTAGCATCTGTAGAGGATTTGTCCGTCCCATCCAAAACATGACCGTTACACAACTCACTGCTACCTGTTACGAAAATAAAATATTACATATTTGTGATTAGAAAACCTTTAAAACATACTTTGATATATTTCGTGGAATTAAACGCGTTGGTGAACGACATTAAAACAAACAGTCGTGTACAAAAAAATGGAATTTTGTAATAGATTGGACAACACCAACATGTATTGGAATGTGTTTTTACAACCAATTACAGTCATTACCTCTTTCGAGAGCGGACATTCGGTCTTTTGTTTCCTTCAACTGCGTGCTTAATGAATCAATTTCTCGCTGGAAAAGACAGAGTTCAAATTTTATTTCTAGAGATTTTCGAAATAAAAATAATTTCATTCTCTTTCATGAAAATTCATGAAAACTGAAAATGTGATTTCCCGAAAGAACGATCTTCTATGTGGATACATTTCAAATCGTTTTGCGGGTTTCGTTGTTTGTATTCTGCACGACTAATTTTTACAAATATCTTATGTCAAGTAAAAACTAACGTATTCTGTTAAATACGGTATCATGACAGCATGCTGGATATACATTAGGGTGTACGCTGACATCGGAAAAACGCCGACTCAACTGACATGATTTTCAGCCGAAATTATGAAAGTTTAAATTCAAATATCATGTTTGTACTCCCCTATGCAATTTATTACATTTTCTGATCGTTCTGTATCATTGGCCTTACATTAGACATTTCTTTCAATACCGACAAATAAATTTGATATTTTGAATATTTATGGTCATGCGTTCCAATATGTTTATTTATAAATGTTAAGCACGGAATATTGATAAGCAAATCTGATTTTGCCAAAAACTGGCTGATGGTGAATACACTTCCTTGAGCAGTTATGGTAAATTCGTACCATCGAATTTAATGCTCCATACGAATGGAAACTATTCATCAAATAATAGATAAAAAATACTGTAACATAAAAAGTCTAATGGGATTTTCCCCCAGCCTGAGGATAGGACAAAGAAACTCGTGTCTTCGTCGGAGATTCACGACGGTTTAACCCGAGGCTGACTTTTGTGTTTATTTTGTAATTCTACAGTATTCATTGTACATAGAAAATTATGATGATGACTCATTGTCATAAAAACTAGATACTGTCGTACAATAACATTTAACGTAATATCAATCCGCGAGTCTCGTCTCAAATTTTACAACGTGATTAAGTTCTGTGCGTGCAGGCTGTCTTACCCCTGCATAGAGATATCTTATCTACACTGGAAGTGTTGATATTTCTGTCTGTTGGGTAGAATAATAACATCTTTCATTCCCTTTATGGTTGAGATAGGGGAATCTCAACCCGGGTTGGGGGGGGGGTATCTCAACCTGAGGGGAAGGGGGTCTCAACCTGAGGGGAAGATGATTAAGTTTGATAGCTTAATAATCTCCTCCCGAGGGTTGTGATCTCATTGTCTCGCCCTAAAGGGGATGAATGATTATTTCACTCTTACCATGGCTTTCCTTGTATGAGTGCGAGACGAAGAATATTGTGTGTAAACAAAAGCACGTGGGTGGCGTGTGAATAGTGAGGAGGCCCCCCCTTAGACGCTTCACGCACTGTGATTAAATCTTACACAAAATATAATCATTGTCTTCATGTCCGAAATATGGGGATTTTATTAATCTTGCATTTGGAAAAAAGCGTGGATTTACCTGTCCAGGGTAAAAGAAAAACCAGTGTTATTCAGGAGTATTACCTGTTTCTTATTTAACCTATCACGTAATTCGACGCCTTTCTCCTCTGCTTTCTTCTTGGCCTTCATCAGGTAATGTAGTTCAATATCTACCTTGTCTGAAAACACTCGTTTGGAAACTGGAATAAAACAAAGATTTAGAATAACAAAAATATCAACTAAAAACGTTAAACTAAAAATCATCGTCAATTTAGATATGACATAAGATTTTCTTGGAATCTTTGAGTACCATATGATAAAATCACAGCTTCATGTTTATAAAATTTTGATGGTACAGTAGAGCGTGTTTTCAGTGCTTACCTGTACATGCACGAGGCACTCTACACAACCGGAACAACACAATGTAGGTGGCAGCTTCTACAGCGGGATGGTGACATAACACGTCATCCCAGAACAAAGTAAACAATATTTCCATGGCAAGCAGAGAAACGACAATCAAACTGTCACAAATCTACAATTGAAAGTTATTAAAACACTCAGTACATAAGATAAAACAAAAATGTTAAAATTTTGTAAAAATCATCGAGGTAAGGTGCCGATTGAAAAATCAAAATTGAACAGTCAAGATTTAACAGTACCCATTTGCTTGGAGATGCATCATTATCAAACATAACCTTTCAAATTCTGTTTATGAATTATTGTTTGTGATGTTACCGTGTAAGACTTGATGTAGTTGTTATATTGCTATAAGATCTGCACGAGACGTCGTATCAACTTAATATATCACAATACAAGGAGTAGTCACAAGAGGTTTTGTTTTTCCCCTTTTATCGAACATATTATGATTCATGCACCTATAAGCTGATAGTACACTCACCTGAACAAAGTCTTTGAACACTTTTGACCTTCCAGAAACAACTCGCAAAAACATCTAAATGGAACAAAAAAGCCTTTTCAGTCACACATCATTCTCTGTTTTACAATGATAATATCTTTGAAATGATTGCAGGGATCTACCAATTTTAATGTCATTTTGTCAATAATCAAATGTGATTCAGTGCACTTCTTGAAATTTAAACAAGTTTTTAAAAAAAAGATAGGGTAGATATTCTATGCGATCTGTAACATAAAGATCAAAACAAGACATCCCGATAAACACAAATAAACTTCATGCAAAAAATAAGGAAAAACAAGAGAGATGTTTATATCAGACCTCTAAATGGATATCTTGTATATTTGATACCTGACAATGAATAAGATATTAACATGAAAAATCGTACCAATGATGTCAAACTTAAACGAATAGTAAACCTTATAGAAAAATAGCATTGATCGAATTCCAACATTATCCTACTGTGCAATGTTGGAATGTTTTCAAAAAGAGGTATGATTTCGCTAACATAAATATATGTCCTGCAGAAATATCCTTGTAAGAGTTAACTCCCCTAGTTTTCCAACTACGTGTGCCGTTTGTGTATTCACCTCAACGTCAATATTATCGACCATCGGGCCATCAATGGTGCAGTGGAGCGTGACAAGGCAATGAGTAATGAAAGACCCTTGCACTGGGTAGTCATTACACGCATGAATGACCCACTGATTAGGATGTGAACGTCAGAGTTGACCATGAGATGACCATCAAAGATATCGTTGAGTCACCCAATGGCTAAAGCATCTATTGTCGCCTTTCGACCGCAAAAACTGACCCGGCTTTCATATCAAGACATAGTAAACATCGAACTGATGTTGACGATATGGTGGTCATGCTGTATTCCTATTCGTTACATCAATCACGCTTCAATGTCAACTACCATGATTAACTGAGAATTGTTAAAACCATTGACCAATGCTAACTACCATAATTAAAAATAGATTTGTTAAAACCATTGACCAATGCTAACTACCATGATTATCTGAGAATTGTTAAAACCATTAAACCAATGTTAACTACCATAATTAACAGACTTGTTAAAACCAATGACTTTTCCCTGCAAGGAAGTCAAATTCAAACCAAGATTCAATAGAAAATCAATTTACTGTTTATCTCACTTATCTAAATAACAACAATAAAACAAAGAAACAAAAATAGACTCTGTACTTATAATACCAAACGGATCCTCCAGTTTTCCTGTAAACTTTTACACTCTCCGGATCTCATTCAGACACTAAAATTTATTGGCGCCCGTGATTCGAATCGAATTCTTTGCGCTAACGTTAAGTTACACTTTTGGGAATATATATAAAGAGCAGATATGATTTTTTTTATTAAAAAAGAAATCATCTTAGATTTTAAAGTGAAGTTTAGCCATGTCTTCAGTTTTCATTCCTATAACGCCACAGTCCTACAGCGAAAGGAACACGTTTCTGAACCTAATGATGACTATATGACAGACTCAACATCTCCTCCTCCTCCTCCTTCTCTCCTAAATAAAAGATTTACCTCAGTAAAAAACGTCCCTCCGATAACGACGCTAGTATAATGTGCCACGCAGTATGTGATCTGTATTGGCTCCACCATGTTCACACACCTCCTACAGATACTGCCCCCAGGGTCGGGGTCCTGGGTGGGGGTAGCATTGATTGGAGTGCTGAAATTTAGGGTTGAAGTCATAGGAGGACCTGTTGGTCCACCCCCGGGCTCTGTTCAAAAAAGAAAGGATAATGAAAAAATAATTCTATTTTCTACCAATCCGGATATTTTACATATATTTAAAAACTTTTTCTTTCTGTGTTGACTGCATTGGCGCAAATACGTTTTCAATTAATTTTGTAACTTAGAGAACTTTCTCAATTTTTCCATTCGGTTTCTAAAGCCAACTTTCTGATATTCATAGACGTTTAAAAGACGACATCACCCGAGATTCATATGACACCGATAATTATTCGTGTCGCTTAAATATAGACTAGATTTTTTTGGCTTCAGAGATAGCTTGGCCAGTTTTTCTGACCTTTCCAATTATCAAAGTTTGTCTGATGAACTTGTACACCACAGCGACCATCCGAGTCTATTGTGTCGTTAAGTGGTCATTTCGCTTTTCGGACGACTGTGATTCAGTCGATGAACAAATCGCTTCAGGGCAAACTTTCAATAACTTACCGATTGATTAACAAATAGCCGTTTGGGGACGGTCAGTTGTATTATGTTGGAGTATCTATATAAAATGCGTTCTTGCTCTCATGACGAAGTAGTGACGTCAATCAAATTAACGTATACAACCGCTTGACCAACCATAACACAACTGACCAACATTGAAATTCTAATAAATTCTTGAGACCATATTTGAATTTTGTTTGTGGTATATAACTTAAGTACATATGATTATTAATAAGTCCAGGTTGAACGACACTTTTAATGTACATTGTGGTTTTTATGTTGATACAGATAAAATTTATCAGATAAGATACACATTGGTACTGGTATGTATTGAAAGTTGATATCACATTGAATTTTTCACAATATAACAATGCTTGTTGTCATATGGCAACAAAGATTGGTTAACTACATTATGTAGTGTTGAGTGGAATGTTTTGTTTGAACAAGAACACCTAACGAAATATAAAGTGTTACCGAACACCTTGCCGACCAACTGTTCTATCCTCTCCATTACATCATGCTAAACCGGAACATGCGTTATATAACTGTTATCTATCACCGGCCGAGTCCATTGGCTTAGACACAGCGATACATCACAATAAGTCTTCGTATGTGTATTTATGTAAATAATGCACTTTAAACTAATGTACAAGTAATAACAGAGTAGGTAAAAAATGTACAGATACCAACACATGCCACAAATCCCATGTATTTCGATAATATTCTGGAAGTTGTCCATGCGGTCTTTAACTTGTTATTATTGACCGATGCTCACCTTAACATGGTGTGGTATACAGCTTGATATGGTGGTATTATAGGATAAATATGAACGAGAAATTCTAAATTCTGGCAATTCCGGACGAGACGCGACGGACGAACACATCAATGTGTCCCCGCCATAGCTAACTCTCCAACCCTCTAACACTCAATCCCCTCACCCTAATGAAAAAATCAAGCAAATGTCATAAAAAATCCTTAAACGCTGACCGAAAAACGATATAGATTGTTTTTCCGTACGGATGACTGTACGATTATGTACCATATACCTATCGTTGTTATCAGAGATGACGAAATATATAACGACCTAATCTGTCCCGATAACTCTTGGCTTCTCGGAAGTAAAAAATATGCTATCAGTAAATATTTTCAGAAAGTTAAGTGTGTCTATCCTTAAGTGATATAATTCGCGATACCCAATCAGAACTAGGTTGTTATCCACGATTCAGCAAAGTAGCCGGGTTGATGTTATTTATGGATGTTGAACGTCTTTCACCCGTAACTACGGAGTTCAATGTGCGGGTACTTATTATTATTCATTTCGATCCTGGTGACTAATTGAGTGATGAAAAATCATATCAGCGGCGTATAGAGTTTATATAAAGATAATGTGACATAGGAGTGTCTTCTCGGGAATTATGTACTAGACACGTATTTATCACGATTAATAAAACAAAATTATTATTTAAAGATAGAAAGCACTCGGAGATTGCCGACAGACCTGATAGTGTTCGACGAAAACAGATTTGTGGGCGTTGATCGTCCGTACAATTACGAAATAACCGAAACGAATTATGATATGACAGTCAAGCCTGCAAAATTAATGTTTTGGAATAAACCCCAGACTCCATAGGTACTGAAACCCAAAACAGCAGTCCGTGTCATTTTTAAAAGATGGCAAAGACATAAGTGGAGTATGTCTATAAAGTTTCAAGAAAATCCCGATACTTCTAGAGGAAAGGCAGTTTATAAACTAGGCGCCATGTAGACTATTAGGTTTCTGGACATCTGATGTATACATTCAAACATATCCTTTAGGGATATACCAATGTCTATATGGTTAACAGGAGTGTCGACACAAGGACGAAATGGGAAAGAAAATTCAACAGGAAAAGGCAACAAAATCTTTGGAGATATTAAAATAACAGGAATCTGCTCACGGGAACATGCATGGTAATATCACAATAATGAAAATCGAGGGGAAATATTAAAAGAACGAAGGGGCGCGCATGTAAATAACAGTATACAGGTGACAAGTGGCCAAGGCCTTGTGGTTATGAAATGTTTTGAAAATGTTTTTAATATTTTGATGCTTAATATGTGACGACAAATTGATCAATCAGACTAAAAACACCGATTATTGACCACACTTCTCTCTTAAACGTGATAAATATTCGCTAATGTATACCCTGTAAAATGTCCAGTCGAATCAGTAACTCCGCCGTAATGGCTAGACCGTCCACAACAACAAGGATAGCAACAATACATTCCATACACAGCCCAGTCATAGCTTCGTACAGCAGGCTACAGCAGCTGAAAATATAACATAAACCTATTAAAGAAGTACATTGATATTTTATTACAACAGGCTACCGAAGTTAAAAATATGGCATAAACCTGTCAAAGAGGTCACTTCAATACAACGTACACTTCGTATAGCAGGCTACAGCAGCTGAAAATTCGTTAACCTTTCAAAGCGGTCACTTCAATACAACATACACCGGTACACCGACAGCTTCATGCAGCAGGCTACAGCCGCTGAAAATATAGCATAAACCTGCCAAAGCGGTCACCTCACTACAACGTACACCGACAGCTTCGTGCAGCAGGCTACAGCCGCTGAAAATATAGCATAAACCTGTCAAAGCGGTCACCTCCATACAACGTACACCGACAGCTTCGTGCAGCAGGCTACAGCCGCTGAAAATATAGCATAAACCTGTATTGTATTTTATTTATATATAAAGGAGAGATTAAGGGATATATTAAGTATCTAGTTTCCCGTGATCAGGTCTTTCCTGAGGAGAAGCCAGCTTGGCTTGCTACAATTCTGACTTAAATGACAGGGATGCAGTTCATTATCCCGAAGCTCGCCAGGGTTAAAGGTGCACAGGATTAAGGTGTAAGAATACCCAATACATCAGACCTACATATTTGTTATCCAAATGTCTGACGGCAGAGGGAAATAAATCAAAGGTAGGGTCAAAGCCAAAGGAAATGTTACATTAGCTTCGGTTTAACGTATAATTTCAAAATCTGATAAAATACAGAAAGAATATGAGCATATCAGGATTAAAAATCAGGAAAAGTTAGTTTCAGAATTAATTATTTGAAATGGGACCTCATTGACTAACATCTGCGTGAGTGTTAAAGGTTCTGTCTTACTATTTCTTCTTAAGTAATTAAATGACACAATTAATATGAACCTGTATCATCATTGTGTGCACCATATTTCAGCTATCATTTAACACCGAATATCATACTATTTTAAGAGCGAATTTTTCTTGTTAGTGAAGATTTACCAGAAAAGCAGTAAAATTCCATAACTAAAGAGAAAATGACAATTTTGGACAAGTTAATTTACATAGTTCTAAAAATGACATTTTTTAGATACAGATAGTTACAGCGACCGGTTTTACTTTTGTCAGTTTCAATCATTGTGGCACTTCCGAGAAGTCAGGTAGAGATGGTGCAGTTGCAGTGCTCTAAACATTGAAATACGAAAAAATGCAAAAACAGCTTAAGCGATAGCTTGTTTGAACGCGAGTGTCGCAACCTTAGAAATACAAAATAAATGCAACATGTGCAGAAATCCAAACTGTTCGAATGCCCACTGGACAGACGCAGTAATGACCTGTCAATTTAATCAAACATTATATTTTGTCTGGCATTTGTGCTTTGAATGGATTTAACCTTGGATGAGAACAGCATGTGATAGACCCACATTTCCCCATCCGGTGTCAGATGTTCTGTACCTTGGCGCCACTTTCAGCTGATATGATCCGCATGTTACTCTCTCGAGACATTCCATATTAAGTAAAGGAAACTCGATTGAATAGGCGTCAAGCTTCACCCAGTTGACCTTGTTGCGTCTAAAAAGGTCGGGCTCATCACCTACCCTTGCAGCCAAAGTATTGAGCACACCCAAACAGGATTACACGCTCTCACAGAATCTGGTGTTGACAACGACAACCACGTGCAACCACGACCTATGCACACCTCTACCATAGCGTAGGTAAACTGAGTAATCAGTATTAGTTAGTACATATAGTTCATACAGAATACCTGACATACCTGTAGATCTTTCTGACAATGGTATTGAGACAATTATCGTACCTATACCTGTATTCAGAAAATACAGAAGATAAAGAAATAAAATTATGTAATATACCTTCATGTGTTGTTTGATAAACGGGGGAAAACAGAACGATTATCACGCGTTTATTTGTTTTATCCTTACGATCACTTAATTGTCTTTGTATATATGTATATCGTTGTTTATAACACAACCTCCACCTTAATTCTTCAGGGGATAGGTTACTTCTACAGAAAGCAAGTTTGTGTGTTAATATTGGTGCACCCAACCATGTATGATATTATGAAGTGGTCTGGTACAATACCAAACTAGAAAATGTCTCGGTATTTACCATCAAAACAATGATGATTAAATCTTTGTGATTATGGAAAATTGTGCATCGGACATGCACGGTATAAAGTATATCACAGGTTACATAGAATTGATAGCCAGTGTGTATCTATGGAAAGTATAAACTCACGAACTGATATGTATCTAAATCCGTGACATAATATATAATGTAACTCTACATATGTTGTATGTCTGATTTTGAGAAAAGTTTGCATGTTTTTTTTAATCAAAAGTATCACTACGCTTACATCACTACACTTACTTATATTCAGCATCAAACTTTCAGTTATTTCATACACTGTACACTGTCATAATTCATTTTCTAAATTACGTTCGCCTGTGACAATTATCAGTCATTTTGTCAGGATACCCTTGTCACACAACCTGGTGTTAAGCTAGGCGGTCCATTACGACTTATCGTTATAACTTATTTATGGTTTATCTGTGCGTTTCTGCATATGTCTAAAACATCATAAAACAAATAGAAAGAGGGACCAAATGTTGACCCCATGCAGCTTTTCCGGATAACCGGTCCCATTATCACTTCTAACGTTCCGGGTATAGATTGTGTTTGGAGAAAAGGATATCACATCTGTTTCATAACATAAACGAACGTATCTTTTCAATCCACATTTCAACGAAGATTTTTCAATTGTACTATCAAAACATTGTACATTAACACGTACTTGTATATACCGGTACATCAGCATGTATATGTATACAAGGGTACATAAACACGTACTTATATACACAGGTATATAAACACGTACAGGTATATACAGGTACATAAACACGTACAGGTATATACAGGTACATAAACACGTACAGGTATATACAGGTACATAAACACGTACAGGTATATACAGGTACATAAACACGTACATGTATATACAGGTACATAAACACGTACAGGTATATACAGGTACATAAACACGTACATGTATATACAGGTACATAAACACGTACAGGTATATACAGGTACATAAACACGTACAGGTATATACAGGTACATAAACACGTACAGGTATATACAGGTACATAAACACGTACATGTATATACAGGTACATAAACACGTACATAAACACGTACATGTATATACAGGTACATAAACACGTACAGGTATATACAGGTACATAAACGTATATACAGGTATATACGTACATAAACATACAGGTATATACAGGTACATACAACACGTATATAAACACAGGTATATACAGGTACATAAACACACGTATATACAGGTACATAAACAGGTATATACAGGTACATAAACACGTACAGGTATATACAGGTACATAAACACGTACAGGTATATACAGGTATATAAACACGTACAGGTATATACAGGTACATAAACACGTACATAAACACGTACATGTATATACAGGTACATAAACACGTACAGGTATATACAGGTACATAAACACGTACATGTATATACAGGTACATAAACACGTACAGGTATATACAGGTACATAAACACGTACATAAACACGTTAATGTATATACAGGTACATAAACACGTACAAGTATATACAGGTACATAAACACGTGCATAAACACGTACATGTTTATACAGGTACATAAACACGTACATAAACACGTACAGGTATATACAGGTACATAAACACGTACAGGTATATACAGGTACATAAACACGTACATGTTTATACAGGTACATAAACACGTACATGTATATACAGGTACATAAACACGTACAGGTATATACAGGTACATAAACACGTACAGGTATATACAGGTACATAAACACGTACAGGTATATACAGGTACATAAACACGTACAGGTATATACAGGTACATAAACACGTACAGGTATATACAGGTACATAAACACGTACAGGTATATACAGGTACATAAACACGTACATAAACACGTACAGGTATATACAGGTACATAAACACGTACATAAACACGTACAGGTATATACAGGTACATAAACACGTACAGGTATATACAGGTACATAAACACGTACAGGTATATACAGGTACATAAACACGTACAGGTATATACAGGTACATAAACACGTACAGGTATATACAGGTACATAAACACGTACAGGTATATATATACAGGTACATAAACACGTACAGGTATATACAGGTACATAAACAGGTATATAACAGGTATATACAGGTACATAAACACGTACATACAGGTATATACAGGTACATAAACACAGGTATATACAGGTACATAAACACGTACAGGTATATACAGGTACATAAACACGTACAGGTATATACAGGTACATAAACACGTACAGGTATATACAGGTACATAAACACGTACAGTATATACATACATATACATAAACACGTACATGTATATACAGGTACATATATACAGGTACATAAACACGTACATAAACACGTTTAGGTATATACAGGTACATAAACACGTACATAAACACGTTTAGGTATATACAGGTACATAAACACGTACAGGTATATACAGGTACATAAACACGTACATAAACACGTACAGGTATATACAGGTACATAAACACGTACAGGTATATACAGGTACATAAACACGTACAGGTATATACAGGTACATAAACACGTACAGGTATATACAGGTACATAAACACGTACAGGTATATACAGGTACATAAACACGTACAGGTATATACAGGTACATAAACACGTACAGGTATATACAGGTACATAAACACGTACAGGTATATACCGGTACATAAACACGTACATGTATATACAGGTACATAAACACGTACAGGTATATACAGGTACATAAACACGTACAGGTATATACAGGTACATAAAGGTACATAAACACGTACAGGTATATACAGGTACATAAACACGTACAGGTATATACAGGTACATAAACACGTACATAAACACGTACAGGTATATACAGGTACATAAACACGTACATGTATATACAGGTACATAAACACGTACATGTATATACAGGTACATACAGGTACATAAACACGTACAGGTATATACAGGTACATAAACACGTACATGTATATACAGGTACATAAACACGTACATGTATATACAGGTACATAAACACGTACATGTATATACAGGTATATAAACACGTTCATGTATATACAGGTACATAAACACGTACATGTATATACAGGTACATAAACACGTACAGGTATATACAGGTACATAAACACGTACAGGTATATACAGGTACATAAACACGTACAGGTATATACAGGTACATAAACACGTACAGGTATATACAGGTACATAAACACGTACAGGTATATACAGGTACATAAACACGTACAGGTATAACACGTACATAAACACGTACAGGTATATACAGGTACATAAACACGTACAGGTATATACAGGTACATAAACACGTACATGTATATACAGGTACATAAACACGTACAGGTATATACAGGTACATAAACACGTACAGGTATATACAGGTACATAAACACGTACATGTAGCTTGTTGATTGATCACTGCGGCAGCATGAATCTGTCGTTATTTGTTTAGTGTTTATTTACTTGGTCGTGAGAAGAGATATCACTCCCTCGTGTGCAGACCCGGATTCTGCAACATTCAGCAATAACTGATTTTGCTAGTCATAAGTATTATCCTTTCCCTAAATCACAGGGACATGCGAACTTGAATGGCGATTAGAATATAATTGTTATAGGAAATTAACACACACCCGGTAAACATTCAGGCGTAAGTACAACTGTCCGACTGGTAATGAAACATATGGGTACATACATAAACGTTTTATTATACATTCCTCTACTATATTAAGTTAAAAAGTCACTACTTATATCAATTATATTCCCTCTTTTGCTTCGACTTCAGTCAACAGTAATTATAATTCAGTCTAAAAGAGATCCTTGGCGCACATCATTGTTTTGTCTTTTATATGTTCTTTAAAACCTGGATCTTTTTTCATTCTTTTGTTTTCTTTCATAACTTTTCTTAATTATATGAAATTCAAAATTTCTATAGGACTCAACACAGGGACGAAGGGCAACATACATGAAAATTTGAGAAAGAGCTATCCAGTGCTTCTCGAGAAATAGCAATAATAATACTTAGTTGTCAAATCCAAGATGGCCAATCTCCGCCATTTTGCTTTTATGATCAGTCCCAAAATCAAAAGAGCAAACCTAGGGATCACGGGGAACCACATACCATCTTAGGGCCAATGGAAAGCTATATAAGATATTTGAGAAAGATCAATCCGGTACTTCAGAAGAAATAGCGATAACAACTGGTCATAGTCAAAAACCGAGATGGTCGCTTGTAAACCAGTTTGTTTCTCTGATAAATTTAAAAAAATAACTGAGTACAACCAGGGGCCACGGGGCCTTACATATGGTATTTGAAGAAGATGCATTTGGGAGAATGAAAGTCCTTATAACACAACCAGTAGAAGATTTGAGTGTGACGTTTCGATTACTACAAGGTCGCCGTCATCAGACGTGCAATGACCAGTGTGGAGCGTACTAGCAATGACGTACGTAGTGCACGAGACAGTATCGACCAAATGTTCGGCTGCACCGTGATCGTATGTATTGTAGTACTGTAG